AAAAAAATATTATAATCACTTAATGTTATTAAAGGTAAAAAAACAAAATTGAAATTTATTAGATAATTATTAATTAAAAAAATGTGACCACAAATTAAAAAATTAAAATGGATAAATTTGTTAATAAAATTAAAAAATTTTAATCCGTTAACGATTTGATACAAAAAGTTATATAAACTAACGTTTTCAATCCACTAGCGATTTGGACCTTAATTACTATCCACTAGTCTCAAATCACTATCCGCTAGTCTCAAACTATTAAATAAAAATTTTACTAAACACTTAATTTGTAGTGGTTTCGAAATATATAAATTTATCAAACACCTATATTTGACGGTTTTGGTAAAATCGCTAACCGCTAACCGCTATCTCAAAACTGCTATACCGAACGAGTCTCAAACCACTATCCGCTAGTCTCAAACTATTAAATAAAAATTTTACTAAACACTTTATTTGTAGTGGTTTCGAAATATATAAATTTATCAAACACCTATATTTAACGGTTTTGATAAAACCGCTAACCGCTACCCCAAAACTGCTATACCGAACGGGCCCTAAATGAGAGAAGCGGATTGTTTCCAATGTTTTCAACCTCTATGGAAAGAAAAAACTAAGATCAATAAGGCAAGGCTGTTTGCTAACGATGTCGTGCAAAGAGGCTTAACGATCAAATGTAAAAGAAAGAAAAAATGGGCAGACATTGTTTCCCATTTGCCAGTGTAGAAAGTGCAGTTCTTCATATCAACAATCTCCCCTTCTCAGAACGTCACAACCTGAGAAACATTGCAAAGAATACAAAATTGTTAAAAGTTGTCAGAAAGAAATTTGGCAAGCTACATATTTATGCTTAAGATTAACATAACATCAGTGTCTGTGATCAACGTATTAAAGAAGAAAAATTTTATCCACAAGCTACAATATAAACTGTACCTAATATGTATTCTTTTGACTACTTTAACTACGTTCATAGAAGAGGATTATAAGCATATAGTCAAAAGTTAAGAATTTTAGCATATCCAGGTAGATTTTACAAAGAGATGAGGATGGTCCCGTTATATACTTCATAGCTTTAAGCTTCCGACAATGGAATTTCAGAAGAAAATGTGCAATTGTAAAAGATTATAACTATGAGGTAATAAACTTTACAAAATATATCTCCAAAAGAATTTGTGAACATATTTTGGATGATGTAATATTACAAGAAGTTTATACACAGGACCAAGAAGTTGTTGCACGAAAGAAACCATCTTATTGGTGTGTCAGCCATAGGAACATTTAAGCCTTCCATGGTGCCACATAGATACCCACACGTTCAAGGTCGAATCCTTGTAAGTGCACATTAACCCTCCAAGCTTCCTCCTTTTGTAGACTAGAAACATTCTGAGTACCTGTAAAGGCCCGCAACAAAAATATGCTGTGATATACAGGTGTTGCGTCAACAGATATAGAAAGTTTCATCATCTATTATCGATAATGGAGGAAATTCCTCAAGCCCACCAGTACTGCCACAAAGGAAATGAGAATGAAAAGAACAAGCAGCCTGTGACAATTCAGTTAAAGAAACAAAATCGCATTAAACTTACAGTTAACACTGAAAAACAAAAGGCTTATTGAACGCACAATCTCTTAGAGCAACTCTGAAATTGACACATGACTCAACCATATGAAAAGTGTTCAAAGGAGAGTGTTAAAGAGATTGTTCCAATCATTTGTCCTCTATGAATAGCTAAAAATTGGAGCAAATTATGTCCCAATATCATCAAAGAGATGAGATCGTTTTGATATTGACGTATCAAAACATCAATTGACATGTACGTCGGTTAAGATCCTATGCAATTCCAAACGAGCTCAATTCATACCACTATACCAGCCAACAAGAAAACATGCCACAAATATAAAAACCCATAACTGCCTTCTAGTCTAATCTACATATGAAAACCAAAAACAACCACTTATAACGTTCATCACAAATATTCAATGCAGAGAAAACTGAATTCCCCATAAGCATAAACGTCAAGAAATTTCCGACTAAATATTCATTTGGTAATTAAAGAA